AACTTGATGTAGCAACAACTAATCATGTGAACCTGGAAGAGCCAAAGATAACATTTCCCGCATGGGATGGAAAGCTGTGACACAGGCTGATGTATCTTAGGGTTCTCTTTTAAAACACCTGGTCCTATGAAGCTGCAAGGCTTTAGATGACTATAGAATGCCTGATATTTCTGCCCCCAGAACACTCCTTTATGTCTCTCCTGGGATGTTTTGTCTTGTAAGGAATGATTGCCCATAATCTACACCTCTGCATTCATTCACCTTTCTTTGTTGTCACTGGGTGAGGCGACACTGGGAAATGCTTAGGGAGGACATTCATTCTTTTCATTTTTCCTTTCATGATATTTTTGAACAACAATGTGAAACCACTTATAATGCTGCTGTGAATTGTTAACAAGCACGTTTGCACATCACATCTATTATGCTATTTGCACGAAGTTCTGTGAAGAAACAGCTCGAAGTATTTTTAAGATATAGCCTTTTATCTCTGGAAGCACCAGAAAGTATTTGCAGATTGGTCTCGAATCAAATTAGCCTAGCACATTGGTGAGTTCCTGGAGGCATGAGCATTTCTGTAAGTGGTTCCTAGCCCCCTTAATCCTTTTGATCATTTGCACTGTGTATTTTTACACAGAGTCTTGTACTTTGGAGAAATAAAATAAGGAAACTTAAAGGTGAGTTTGATGAGGGCTTCTCTACATTGTTTGTCAATGCAGATGGATCTTGAATTTTAATGGTAATAGTTTCTTTTAAACAACCAAGCTTTTTTAAACCTCTCCACAAATAATGTCAGTTCTCAAATTATGTCTGAAAGTGTTTGCTGGTGAATGGAAATTTTTCCTGACCCCTTATTGCTGCCACAAAAGAAGAACCTAATCCTGGAAAACTGTCCTGACAGCCTGGATGTCAATTACCCTACAGCTGTGTTTTTTTTATCTGGGCCACTGCCCATGTGACATTTGCTGTCATTTGGTGGCTTCAGGCATCTACGTTCAGAAGCCTGGCTCAGGGTCGTAGACTGAGCCTGAGCTTCACCTCTGGTTAAAACCTGGTTGGCTCTTCACTGGATCCTGCCACTTACTGGCTGTGAGACATTGTATGAGAAAACTTGTGGAGAAGCCTCAGTTTCTTCATCTGTAAAATGGGGTCCACATCTCATAAAATTGTTGCGGGCAATATTTGTATGCCCATGTTCATAGCAGCATTATTCACCATAGCCAAAGGTGGAAGCAAATCAAGTGTCCATTGCCAGATGAATGGATAAACCAAGTACGGTATATACACATAATGGAATATTATTCAGCCTTAAAAAAGGGAAAAATTCTGATAGATGTGTCAACATGGATGAACCTTGAGAACATTATGCTAAGTGAGATAAGCCAGTCTCTCTCTCTCACACACACACACACACACACACACAAATACTGTATAATTCCACTCAAATGCGATACCTAGAGTAGTCAAATTCAAGGCACAGAATTAGACTGATGGTTGCCTGGGGCTGGGGGGAGGAGGGAAATGGGGAGTTAGTGTTTAATGGATACAGTTTCAGTTTTGCAAGATGAAAAAAGTTCTGGTGGTGGTGGTAGCACAATGATGTGAATGCACTTAATGCCACTGAGCTGTCACTTAAAGACGGGTAAGATGGAAAATTTATGTTATGTGTATTTTCCACAATACACAAAAAATTGTTGTGAGCATTAAAACACATCAAATAGGTAAAGTGCCCACCATTTTGTCAGTATTCAGTAAATAGGAACAGCTTTTACTAGGGTTAGGATGTTGTATTTTAATGGTTACATATATTTCACCATGTGATTATACCAAAATTTCTTTCTTTCTTTCTTTCTTTTTTTTTTTTGTTTGACTTTTGGCTTTCTTATAGTACTCTACCATTATAATAAAGATGGAGTGAATTTTTTTGTGTATTTGTATATGTTTTCCATTATTTGGAGTTATATCTTTGAGACAGATTTCCTGACCACTTAGGGTGAATTATCTTAATCTTTGTGGCTCTTGCTGCGTAAACCAGTGGGATTTGAGGGTAGTCATTTACCCTTTTACCAGCCACGTAAGGAAGCCAGTTTTATAGCACTAGGTATACTTTTAAGCTGTTTTACAAAATGTAATATGTAAGAGATGGTATATTAATGGTTCGATATGTGTTTATTTCCTTTTATCATTGAAAATGTTGATCATTTTTTGTCTTGATTTACATTTATTTTTTCCTATGTGTATTGCCTGTTTATATCTTTTGCTGTATTTCTAGTGTGGTTTCTGTGCCTTTCTTGCCAAATATATTTGTCATGTTTGTAACATATTTTTGCCATTTTAATATTTAGAAGGTTTAATTCTTATGTAGTTAAATAATTCCTTTAAACATTTTAGAGTACAAAATGGTAATATTTTAAAGTAGATAAAAATGGTTTTATAATAATCACGATTATTAATATATTTTCTTCCTATAATTCCCCATCATTTTCTTCATGTTAGTATAAAATTTGCTTCAATGCTTAACTTAGATGACTACAGTATTTGAATTAAAATTATGTAGACTGATTAATAATAAAATATTAATAACCCAATATAAAAAGGACATTACAAAAATTAGAGCAAATAAGAAATTAAAGTTATTAATAAACATGACTTTTTTCTCACGAATAATTAAATTCATTGAAAATGAAATGATAGTATTGCAGCTATAAATTGCTAATGATTAAAAACATTGTAAGACTGACTGAGACGGCCCTCACTTATGCTGCCAGGGGGGAGAGGAAATTAGGTCAACTTTACTGAATAGCAGTTTGGCACGAGGTATCAAGAAATTTAAAAATGTTTATAAACATTGATTTAGAAATGCTGTTTATATAACTATGACTTTGAGGCAGCCTCAGAAATGTGAAAAAATATTTACATTCACTAAATCACTAAAAATAGATTTAGTCTAAATGCCCAATGACCAGGAATGACTGGATAAATAATAGTACAACCTTATTTGGAGTGTTATATGAAAATTATAAATGGCATTTAAAAAAATTGTTTTTTAGTGATATGAGGAAATACAATATGCTGGTAAGTAGAAAAAGCATGATGCGATGGTTGCAATAAAACAGATTTTATGTAGTGATATGCATGTGCGTGTGTATGTATCTCATACGTATTCAAGAAGAGATGTGTAAAAAAACATTGACTCTACTTATGTGGCAGGAGTAAAGGCGATTTTTATTTTCTTTTTTATACTTCCACACATTTTCTAAGCTTCATATTGCTTGTAAATTATTGTTTCTACAATCAGAAATAAATTTAAATATTAAAAAAAGATGAAAGATCATGAACAGATTCGTGTTCATTTTGCTCTTTTTGCTGTGATGTATTGGGTAGAATCCTGGACAGTAAGTCAGAAGGTACATTTTCAATTTATGGTCCAGAAATTCATTAGCTATGCAACCTTGGGCAAATTTAACCTATTTGTATCTCAGTTTTCCCATTTGAAAAATAGAGATCTCTGCCTTCCCTGTCTATACCATTGGACAGTTGTGAGAATTAAGGTGAGATTACCAACAAATGGGAAAACACTTTTGCAAACTAAGGTGCAAGTTCAAGGCATTGCCGAAACCACTGTGAGTTTTGATAATTTGCTAGAAGAACTCACAGAATTCACTGAGAGCTGTTATCCTCACTTATTAGCAGGGAAAAGAAAGAGAAGGAAGAAAAAAATCAGTCGAAGGAAGAGATGCAGAGGGCAGAGTCTGGAAGTGTTCCAGTACGTACTGCTGTGTCGTCTCCCGTGCAATCAGGATGTGTTACTCTCCTGGCATCCATGTGTGACAATATGCAAATATTGTCAACCAGGACATTCACCCAAGCCTTGGTGTCCAGAGTTTTTACTGGGGCTTCATTACATGCATGTGATTGATTGATTGTCCACATGGTTGAACTTAGTTTCTAGGTCAACTGCGTTACCCAAAGCCTCCGTCTTGCTATCACTGTGGGATCTGGCCAACCCTACCGTAAGATTCAGCATGGCCAGCCCTGACCCTAAGACTATTCGTGTGTCCAGCCCCACCCTAAAGAAGGACACTCCAATCGGGTATGACATAGATTACCTTCCAGAGGCCAAGGCAAAAGTCAGATATCTCTTTGCACAAGGCTAAATGCTTAACTACACATAAGGTGACCAAAAGAGATGGAAAACAAATTTAAATGTAGACATGATGTCAGTATGGAGGGGTCTGTTATTTACTATGTTCTAACACTCTAAAATAAGGAAGGACATGAATTCCATAGGTACAAGTGGTACTGTGAATACCCGCTTCACTGATTCACAGAACCTTGGGGACCACCTTTGAGAATGGGCGTGGGTACTGGAGAGAGACATTTGATACAGTAGTTGTCTACCACAGAGACAAATTAGGCTGAGAAAGCACTTACCGCCCCGTTGGGGGTCTGAACCTGACCGTTGCATCAGTGTTGGCAGCACAGTGCATTGTCCCTCCATTAGTGAATTGATCTAATGTGAACAAGTTACAAACCTGCTTTTTACAGGTGTCTCTATCTGGCATCATCTTACTCTGTATTGCAGCTGAGCTCCCTACATATAGCGTGGAGTGAAGATAAAAATAAATTGTCACACTCCCCTTTGCAGAGTTTCAAATCTTGAGCACTATATCAGAGTAGATCCAAAAGATTTTGTAGAGTGAGATTGGAAAAATGAAAACCCGAGTTCATTTTCTCATGAAATTAAAAAAAAAAATTAGGGTACAGTGGAGCAGTCATCATCCTCAGGAAGCTTGCTAGAGGATAACTGTATGCTTTTATGGAAAAAGAACCAGCTACAGGGACTTAGAATGGAACCATTGGCAAAAGGACAATTATGCTCCCACCGTTCTTTCGGCATGAAGAATTTTAGCCTTGGTCTGGTGGTTTTTTTGTGAAACAAATAACTTGTAATAAATTGATGTTGTCAGTAAATTTTGGTTGTATGTTCTGTTTCTTTCAAGGAAAAACTGGCCATGCAGAAGTAGTTCGAGTGGTGTACCAGCCAGAACGCATCAGCTTTGAGGAACTGCTCAAGGTCTTCTGGGAGAATCATGACCCGACCCAAGGTAGATGAGTGAGCCAGTATTTAATTATCTTACTAATTACAGCTGGGATAATTAGTGTTTGAGCTGCATGGAAGAGATGAACCTTGAAATCACACAGGAGCTCAAGAATATGATTGCAGACATTTATTGACGGAGAAGAGGAGGGGCGGGGGAGAAAAAGGGTGCGAGAATAAAGGCACAGCCACAGTCTGCACCCCTCCCCCCTTTACAGCTGTCAGGGGTGGGAAAATTCCCACAGAGAAAGAGCCAGACAATAGAGATTCGTTCACCTTTGATTATTGCATTATTCCTCCTTAATGCAGTCCTTTGTCTACAAAATTAAAGTGTCTTTCTAGCAGCTCCTAAGTTTTCCTGATTTATGGTTCCTTTATTTCACTGAATTTAGCCTTTCTCATCTTTTGACGTTATCAGGTTTTTAAAAAAAATGTCTGTAGGTGATAAAAAAAAAACATAAAGGTAAAATGCAGTATTCAGTGGGTCCACAATGCTTGCGTTATGTTTTTTTCATTAACTCTTTATTACAACTCATGCTTTTATAAAAGTATGTGTGGACTTAGGTAAATTTGCTTATGTTATTTAAATATTTCATTTGCCTTCTTTGGAATTCGTTATATGGAAATATTAATATATCTGAGCTATAAACAATGGTGGCCAGAAATTTTATTGAAGGCACATACTAGCAAAAACTCTATGTTGGCAGATATCATTGTAATATTTGATAATGGAGCAATTTCCAGATTTCATCCGAACAGCCTTATAAGCGCTGTTTTGCCAACAATATGATCGGATATTATGAAGCTTATGAACTGAAAAGTCCTATATAGTAGATGTGATTTTTACAAACCCTGTTCATTTAGTAATCAACCTATTTATCAAAATATTTCCCTTTGGTGTCAGATTTCTGTGTGGCGAGTATGCTGTGTTGACTGATTCCTGATGCCTGGATGTGTTTTTCCAAATGTTCATTGTGTTTTGTGGTGCAACCTTAATGTGATTCAAGCAGCACAGGTTGGTGCGTCCTGAGTTCTGGTTCTGAGAACCACCCAATGACGGGGTGATTTGCTAGAGGGCAAATGTCAGAGCCAAGTCAAGAGTTGCAAAATGATAAAGGAGCCAGGGTCAGGCAGGCCCAGGACCCAGGCGCATCCACCAGGGATGGTGAAGGTCTGGGAAGGAGGCTAGGAGTAGGCTTTTCGTTATAGTAAAGTTTGGTTTGATGTGGGGGGGACGAGTCACAGGCGTGTGACCGAAGCAGGAATAATTAGTCCTTCCGTGGGACTGTCGTATGAGAGAAAAAAGTGTTCTCACTTTGCGGGGGATGCCGAAGTGACAGTGCTGTGTATGTGGAAAGAGCCTGACCGTGGGAGAAGCAAGGGAGGAAGATGAGCAGAGACACTACGAGGTGAGAGATGGGAAGAGAGAACCTTCAGGACACTCTGAGGCCCTGAGACTTCTCGTTCCTGCAGCTCTTCCTTCAATTTTGAGAACTCTCCTTGTAGCTTTCCAAGCAACGAGAGCTACTAGATATCCTCCTTTTTTTTTTTTTTTTTAATTTAAGCCAGTTTCTTGGGTTTTTATTATTTGCAACAACAAAAATCCTGACTAATCCACTTACTCAACTTAAATAATCATTGTGCTCATTGTGCTCATTTTATTGAGTAGCTGTTTACTAACCATGTGCATTTGGCTCTGCAAATCAGAAGTCTTAAGCCATTTGATTAATAGTTTTATCATTGACTCAGACATGGAGTGGAGGACACTAAAAACTGTTTAAGACCTGTTGGTGGTTTGATTAGGAGGTTTCTTGGTAATTCAGAATTAAGAATTGGGGTTTAAAATTTGGGATGTATGGCCTGAGAATGTTCCAAAAAGGTTCCAGATGACTTGCTTGATGCTGATGACAGTATCTGGATCCAGCCCTGCCTGAAGCTCAGGTTTATTTTCTTTCCCCTACATCTGCAGGGCCCAAGCTTCCTGACCAGGAAGACCACTTCTAAGGATAAATGTTTTCATGGATCCCCTATGTGATATAGTTGGGCCTTTAGTATCTTTTTTTAAAGCAAATACATTAAAATACTGCTCTGAATTTAATCACACTTTGAATTGGATGCCTATTTTATTAGCCAACACAATGTCATATACCTCTGGAAAATGGAAATGCTTACGTGCATAATGCATTTTACAGCTTCTAGGACATGTCTCCTGCACAGTCAGATTTGTGGACCTCTTGCAGTAGCCCCAGGCCTACCCAGGGGAATGTGGCCACAGATGGGACTGCTCCAATGCACTCCTGAGGGAGCAGTGGCCTTCTGGCAGAGGCTGCTAGTTGACCCCATATTAGTTTACCCACTTCTATAGTATTAGAATTTTAGCGAGATAGGCAGCTACCAATCAAGACTAAATTTGATCAGACTGTTTATAGCTAAGTATGGTCATGTGTCAAAATTCCGACACAATTGATCGTGTGCGACTTCTGGGTCATGTGCACTTAGAAGAAGGGGTGTTCTCTTCCTCGTCCTTCTTTCATGCAAGTGGCATGTGGTTATGGTGGTGAACCATCTGGACCACAGGGATGGGGACCTCACCCTTGTGTTTGAGGAGCTACAAGATAGAAGGTTCTAAAGTCACTATCAGGGTGGACTCTTTATGCAGGAGAGAGACATACTTTGTTTTGTGCTTTTAACGGGTCATTATGGAGAGTGGATTGGGAAGAGGCAAGACAGGTAGGAAGCTGCTGTAGCAGCCAGATGAGAGATAATGACAGCTAGGACTGACATGGTCAAGTGAAGACAGAACTGTCTTCTTTAAGCTACTGTTGTTTTGGTTCATTTTAGGCCTTTTATTATTATTATTATTATTATTTTACAACAGCTGAACCTATATCTTTACTAAAGTAGCCTTAAACTATAAGCTGGTGATGAACTCCCAGTCATTCCTCTGAAGATCTTAATTCAAATGTTCCCCTAAGTAAAACGTCTTTAATGAAATCTGCTGAGTGCGGACTCTCGGGTTAGAGACGTGGCTTTCATCAGGTCTGCCACATACTAGCCGCGTGGCCTGGGAAAGGTGCCTCACCTCGCCGGGTCTGGTTTCTGCCTTCACTTGACCATGTCGTCCTAGCTATCATTATCTCTCTGGCAGCCACAGCAGCTTCCTACCTGACCTGTCTCACCCTTTCCCAATTCTCTCACCATAATGATCTGTTAAAAGCACAAAACAAAGGAATTCTCTCTCCTGCATAAAGCCCTTTTTTGGTCGTCCATCTTTAGGGGGATAATGTACAGGCTCTTTACAAGGACCAGCTGGCCAGGGACTGGCTGATTGGCGTCTACTTCTCCAGCTTCAGCTCCTGACTCTTTTCTCCCCTCCACAACCCTGTTCACTCCATTCCCAGAAGACTCAAGTGTTTTCTTGCCCACGGCTCTTGGTGTGACTGGCTCCTCCCTTTCCTTCAGCTTAAAGTGTCGTGTCCTCTGAGATCCCCTGACCCGCCCTAACTAAGTGGTACTCCCCAGCCCTCACTCCCAGGTTTCTCCATCACTGCATTTTCCTTCCTTCCGACCACTTATCACAAGGTGGAATGATCTGTATATTTAACTGTCTCCTCTTCTAGAAAGGAAGCTTCATATTAAATATTTTCTCACTGAACAAATGAACGAATGAACCTCAGTTTTCCCATCTGTAAAACAGTTCCTGTCCCATAACTGTGTGTCAGGATGTGTGAGTGGATATAGTCTGTTGGGCAGAGCCCAGTGCCAGGCAGAGAGTAAGGATGCCATATATAACGGCTACTGCACTCATCTTGTCTATGTAAGAGCTGTATCACAAGCTCCTGTTCGTTTGCTTTGCTTCTTCTTGAACCCCGGTATTTCTCCACTTTTTCTCTATCATTTTTCTCCAGCAAATGTTCTGAATATTTCTGATCATTTCTTATACTTGGTTCATACCCTTTATCCTCAGTCAGCTCCTCAACACCTTTCCCTTCCACACTCGCCCTCCACCCTCCCACAGTGAACTCTCAGTTGTCCTCAGAAAGCCACATGTGGCTTGCCCCAGGAGACCACACTGTCTATGGTGTTTGATCTCCTGGGGCCCCAGGACCACACACGTGGCCTGCTGCCTTAGCCCTTAGAGATGCGAATAGGGGATTAATGCAGCTCCTCAGCCCTGATTAGAACTAGAGCCCCCAAGGACTCTTCTGCATTCTGTGCCCTTTGATCCCACACTCCTTGCTCCCCACTCATCATGAAGCATCCCTCTAGGTGGGTTGTTCTCAGGAGGCCCCCAGAGAATCTGGGGTGGAATGGTTCATTCTATCTTGAGCAGGTTTGTTTCATGAGCTCTTTCCAGGTGCACGGTAGAGGAGCGAGAGCCCCCAGTGCTGTCTACTGGGAAACATTAATTGGAGAGAGAAAAATCCTATTTTCCTTTTGTTTCTCATCAAGTTGGCAATTAAGTGTGGTGTTCATATATTTGAACTTGCCGAATTAATATCTGAACTTCATTGTGCTGACCCTTTTAAGTTAGTTTTTTAAATAAGTCACCAGTTTTGAAGGACTACTTTTTTTTAGATCATGTACAAGGAATCATCTGCAAATAATTAGACAGTGGAAATTATATTGTATTGCTAATGAGCAGATGTGCATACTTACAGTGGAGGAACAGCTGCACACATATAAAATGCAAAAACGACCCAAACCCAGCATTATGAATTCTGAAAGGGACTTCATTCTTTTAAGAATTTCAGAAAAGAAAAAAATGAAACAAAGAATTTAACTGATTTTTTTTATTAATTGTTCTTTCAGTTGCACTTTTCCTTGTATAACATTATCATACATGAACGTAGTATCTTTGCTATTTGCAAATGTGCTATTTGCACTTTCAAATCCCTCTCTCATATAATACTATAGAGCTTATATTTAACATTTTTCCTTTGCCTTTTTAGTGCTGTCAGGGTTTAAGGATTTGGTGCCTACAAACAGAATGAAAGACCCCTACTG